GGCAAGCGTTGTCCAGGTAATCATGTGCACGCCAATGCTTGTAACAAAGAACTAGCAAGGGCGGCACAGTATACCTACAGAATGCAGTCACTGATCGTTGATGCGGTGCAAATCGCCAAAGACCTGTTTGCTTACGGTCGCGATCCATTCGCGAATCGTGAACGCAGCTATGCGTTCGTAACAAACAGTGCTGGCTACGACTTGGACGACCCAACAATCCGGAGACACCCAAACGGAGAAATCTGGCGACCACCACCTGGCGGTCTTGGGTGCCCTGGCTGTGTGGACAACAACTACAAGCAATCACCAAAGCACAGCAGGGATCCGAAGATGTGTCGGTGGTATGATGTTGAACCGTATTACTGGGACTGTCCAAGCTGTAAGAAGGAATATCAGAAGAGCAATCCTCACCACACCAAGATATCTGGCCAATGCAGATTCGCCGAAAAATGGAAGCTGCCAGATAACTTTGGCCAGCCGCGCCCGGCGGGGCAAGCCGCTCCTGCGGCGCCAGCCGCGGAAGCGGCTCCAGCCGCAGAAGCGGCGCCAGCCGCAAAAGCGGCGCCGGCCGCGAGAGCGCGCATACGGGCGCCTAGGCCGCCACGGCCTGGTGAGGGCGATCCAACCGCAGGCGCCAGCAGCCATGACATCACCAGAGCCGACGGGGCTAATGGTGGCAACAGTGGCGCTGGCAGCTCTGACGATCACCGTAGACTGCCACAAGTTGCAGCAAGGCGCGGACGCATGGAGGGAGGAGATCCTCCACCACCGCCGCAGCCTCAAGCAGAGCCGAGGCCAAGGCCAAGGCTCCCTGATTGGACTCGCTTCGACGTTCAGCTCAGCCTCCAAAACCTGCGCAGCTTCGACCCAGCTGTAGTGCAGCGAGAACTCCGCAAACTCCACCTGAGATGGTTTCATGCCAAGGAGCCAAAAATGCGGATGATTCTAACCAAGGTTGGTCTGGGTGAAACCCGTTTGAGTCTGATCAAAGGCATTTGTGACTCGTGTAGAGAATGTCGAGCCTGGGACAAACCAGGCAACACGGTGATGCCTTCTGTGTCACTGCCAGGACGTTTCAACGAGGAAGTCGAATGTGATCTTTTCTTTTACAAACAGGAACATATTGTTTTCACATCATCGACCGTTGTATTCGCTGGGCAGCTGGCACAGAGATTCCTGATAAAGCCATGCATACTGTTCTCGATGCCTATCATACGACTTGGATGCAACATGGCCCTGCTAAAATCTTATACTCCGATGGGGAAGGAGCACTGAATAATGATACAGCAAAGGCCATCCTTAAGGCTAAGGGAACAGAGCTTCGTATCCGAGCGCGTGGCCAACACGCCACAACTATCGAAGCTAGGAACGGCATCCTGCGACACCTCTTACACGTGATGGGAGAAGAATTGAATAGATTAAATATTCCTCTCAATTTCACTCGTCTCTTACATGAAGCCTTGTTTGCCAGCAACGCATTTACCTTCTACAATGAAGTGTCTCCGTACAATGCGCTGTATGGCAGACAACCAGCTATGCTTCCCGATTTCCCTGTCTTGGATCATGATCAGTCCGCTGAATCATCAGATCACTCAAGGGAGGAAACAATCAGGAGGGTTAGTCTGGAGGCAATCACGCAGGCCACTGCGGTTGCCAAGACGAACAGGGCTCTCCGTACGAAGACTACTGCTACGGGTGAATTTCACTACAAAGAGGGAGATCTCGTGGACTATCATCGCCCGACCACCACGAAAGACGACTGGGGTGGATGGAGTGGTCCATACCCGGTCATCCGCAACGAACCTGACCGAGGCCAGGTCATCGTGAAGGTCGGCAGTCGCGAGGTGCGAGTACAGTATCCTGACACACGACACACGCTGTACATCGAAGCACTTATGGTCCGCGAGATAGGATCGGACAATACGGCCCTTCGGACAGTATTGGCCTTTATTGCCGGTCTGCCAGCGGGGAAACCCGCCATGACTTTCGGATATCTACCAGCGAAACAGGGTCGGCTGCAGATGACTGCTGCGAGCCGACTTTCGCCTAAGGTGCACTTGGCTCTTCAGTACCTCATACGCAACTACTTTCGTATTGAAAACGTTGTTGCTGTACGACTTGCCAAGAGCCTGACGAAGTTGCCTGCTGCACCCTATACAGACAGCTGTACACTAGTGCACTATGATAATGATGTGACCCCTGGTTTTCATTACTATGAAGCTGATGGCACTGCCTTGAACATCTATGACATCACAGGATCTACACACTCACGCATCATCCAGTGTCTTAAATCCAGGAAGCCGTCTGCTGGATTTGACCAAGACCTCACTAAGTTTGAGGAACTCGCTGATGGTCCACCACCAAGCGAATCACCTCCAGCAGCTGCTCCTGAGGAGCCTCCTACGGATAACGATGGTCGGCTCCCGACCATCATAGAGGAAACAGAAGAAGATCTGGATGCTTTTGTCTTGAAGTCGTGGTATGCTGAACTGATGGATGACAGAACACTCCTTGAAGCTGACACAGAGGAAGTCATGCATACAGTTCCCACATACATGACAGACACACAGTGTGTGTTAGTCTCTACGACCTGTGAAGATGTGCAAGGCCACTTGCCGGAGCGGGGTCACCCGCCAGGATACGACATGGACACTTCTTACTACGTTTTTTATGCTCCACGGATCCGGATAGCAAATATGATCTGGACTCCGATGAGCACGGGAAGTACATCGAGCTCTGCTTCACTGCAGACATGTCCAAAGTCGTCCTGTCCGAGCAGCAACACCGATTGTTGGATGACAGCAGCGTCACAACTATGCGAGTATACGTTAGCGCTGCCTCCAAACGTGCCGCGGTCGTCAAGGAAGACGATCTACTCACGAAGGCCGACATCCAAGCAAATCCTGTCAAAGTTTCCAAAGCCCTCTACACAGAATTGAAGACTTGGCTTGACAACAAATGCTTCCAGATGACTGACTTAAGCAAGGCGTCTAACATCATGACGTCACGCTACGTATACAAATGGAAGTTTGTCAAGAACGAAAAGGGCGAAATGGAAAGGACGATCAGGTTACGCTTGGTACTCCGTGGCTTCATTGACCTTGAAGCCTTTGATGTCGAAACCTTCTCTGGCACGGCAAGGAGGTCAAGCCAGAGACTGCTCGCAAGTTCTGCTGCATGCAACAAAGCTTGGATCATCGCTTCCCTGGACATCAACATGGCTTTCTTGAAGGGACTGACCTATGGCGAGCTCGCCGCGGCAACGGGCGAGAAGAGCGTGTGGTGTGCTTCGCACTACCACCTGGGTCAGCAGCTGTCCTTCGCACACTGCCAGGCTTTGAGTCATATGACGAATCAAAGCATTGTCTTCGGTGTCTGAAGCCGGGGGCGGGCACGAAGGATGCTCCCAGGGCATTCTCGCTGAAGCTCAGGTCCATCACTAGGAGCTTTGGGCTACAGCCTACTTCATACGACGAAGAGTTCGAGATGAGCCCAAACCTCTTGACAGCCAAGCACGTTGATGACATCAATATGACTGGGAAGGAAGAGACTATTGACAAGTATGTCAAGCGTGTTGAAGATACGTTTGGGAAGTGCAAACTGAACAAGCACACATACACAAACTGTGCCGTTCGGTACAACAAGACCGATGATGGGAGCGTCACTCTCGATCAGGACGAATACATCAAACAGCTTCGTCCTATCACACATCCAGACCTCACAGGAGCTGATCCTGAGAGCAAAGCGACAAAGACGATTTCTGATATGTTCGTCAGTCTTCGTGGCGCTCTAGCCTATGCGTTGATCACGCAGGTATGGCTGATGGTCTATGTTGTTTCACTACAACGTATCCAGGAACCGACAAACATCCAGGTACGACGACTAAACGCGGTTACCAGAAAGCTACAGGCAGGTCCGAAGAAGATCGTGTATCAACCTATGACCCCAACAGGAGAAGTCGACCTGCATAGCGATTCTGGCTATCGTCGTCTCAACGGAGATGAAGACGACGAAGTCAAAGGCTATGGTATCCGCGGGGCTAACCTGCTGAGGCGTGGCCACACGCAAGCGGGGAAGCCCGTCGTGCACCTGGTGGACGCATACTGCAAGTCTCATCGACTGCAGGTGCGTTCGAGCTACTCTGCGGAAACACTGGCAGCAGCCCACAACTTGGAAGACTGCTACCCGACCATTGTAACGCTCCACGAGCTACACTCGGGACCATTGACCCCCACACAATTAAAGAACATATTGGAAATGGGTGGTCTATGTATCAAAGTCACTCTGACTATTGATGCCGAGTCTGTCTTCAAGTCTTTATCTAGCAAAGATCTGAAGAAGCCCACAGAATGTACTCTGCTTGGGCACATTAGCTGGATCCGCCAGATGATGGAGCGCGGAATCGTTGAAAGCGTTCAATGGTGTGACACGCGGGATATGACTGCCGATGGTCATACCAAAGGTAGTATGGACCGCGCGTTGCTCCTACAAGTAATGGCCGGCCAGCAATCCTTCAAGCACGAGCTGAAGAAACATACACCGTATAGGGCGGGCAGGTCGTCTCAGGACGGCCCTGCCTCCCGAGCTAGCGGGGAAACCCGCGTGCAGGTGCGCTCTAGTAGCGAGGAAACTCGCCGGTAGCGAGGCTACTCGCGCGCCCTTGCCTTGTAGGCAGCCGCCGTTGCCTAGCACTGTTTTTCCGTGTAATGTAGAAATGCGGTGCCTGCTCGTCTCCTCCCCCTCCGACTTTAAACGGAGAAGGTTAAAGGCGAGATGTATATCGAGCATGCACCGCTGCCGTGCCTGGCTCAAGCCGGGCCCGGCC